CACTCTACCCAGGGGGACAGCTTGAGGCTCTGTCTCAAAAAAAAAAAAAAAAGAAATAAGGGGAAAAAAGTAATCTACTTTGAGAATTTTTAATAGAGTAAATGAAACAAATATTTAGTAATAACCTGTGTGCAAATCATAGAGAAAAATATATGACCTGGGCATACTCTTCATTCACCAGATATATATTGAACCCCTATTCTGTGTCATATAGTGGGAACAGAGAGATGAATAAGCAGTTTTTGCCTAATTTCTAACCTCAGAAATATTATACTCAGTGAGTAAAATGGTTAAGAAAAACAGTTATGGCTGGGCATGGTGGCTCACTCCTATAATTCTAGCACTATGTGAGGCCAAGGTGCGGGGATCACTTGAGCTCAGCAGTTTGAGACCGGCCTGGGAAAGAGTGAAACCCCTTCTTTACTAAAAATAGGAAAATGACGCAGATGCTGTGGTGGACACTTGTAGTCCCAGCTACTCAGGACACTGAGGTAGAAGGATCACTTGAACCCAGTAGTTTGAGAGTGCTGTGAGCTGGGCTGATGCCATGCACTCTAGCCTGGGGAACAGAGTGAGACTCTGTTTCAAAATAAAATAAAAAGAAAAACACTTATATAAGTATGATAAATGTTCCATAAAAGAGAAACACAGGGGGCTGTGGGAACACAGAGGAAGGGCTTAAATTTTAAGCAATTGTGTTATTGAAGTTTCTCCTTTTTTTAGGGGGGGAACTGACTTTATGATCTAATTCTACAGGCTATGCTGTCCTCCAAACTCTGCTAAGAAGCTCCAAGGCAAGCCTTTTGTCCTGAGACAAGCTGTACCTGTGGATTTGTTTCCCCATACCCAACACTGCGAGCTGGTGCTCCTGTTCACTCGATAAGCAGCCTCCTAGAAGACTGCAGGCTATTTGTTAAGGCTGAAATTTCACAAACTTTCAGGTTTGGCATATTGCTACATTGCAGATGCTGGGAGCATAACCAGAGAAGGTAATCTTTGGATTGTGAGCTGGAAAAATATAGTAGTCCTCAGTCTCAGGCACATTTAACCTTAGTCTTTAGGTTCCCTTGGTGGTTGTGCTCGTTTGCCTTGTTTTACCACTTTCCATTCCTTGACCCTGGATCTAGATTGTTTCTTCCTTTTGCTGTCAGCCTGTCATAGTTCTCTTGGTCCTAGTTTATTTTCTTATTTTCTTCCATCTGAGTCTGTTTATGGCATGGTGGCAACTGGGCTTTTTATAGCAGCTGGTAATAATTTCACATTGACTAGAGTCTGTATTTGCTCAGAGATTTCACTATTTTTAGATGTTTGTAAGACTTCAAAGTTCATGAGGTAGCCAAGGATTAGAACTAGAAATAAATTTAGCTTTTTACAAAGCAGAGTAAGCTACCTAGTGATTGCAAGGTGACTGAGTGATCATTGGTATAGATGCATTCCTTTGGGCTTCCTTGGCTTTGAAGCCTCTAGAATGCCCATTGATAATGTGATTATCCCTAGGAGCAATAGCACCAATTAATTCTCACCCACAGAGGGAGAATTGCTTATTGGAGAGACCCTAAGGCAGACGTTCTCAACCTGTGGGTCGTGACCCACAGGAACTGTATTAAAGGGTTGCAGCATTAGGAAGGTTGAGAACCCCTGTCCTAAGGGGAAGATTTTCAAAGAGACTAAACAACTATAATTGTTCTGTGTAGTATGGAGGCAGAAAGCTCCACAATGCGGTATGTAGTATCATAAAGTGGATATTGAAAACAGACTTTATATTAAATATTCTCTAGTCTATGATTTCTTCAGCTCTGTAGTTGTTCTTGGATTCTTGCCCAACAATTTAGATTATGTTTTGAATCTTTTAATGAGTGTTCTAAAGATGTGTAACTTAGCAAGCATTGTCTGGCTTACAAAATTATACCAGGTCTACTGGTATTTTTATTTTTTCTTCTTCTTTTTTTTTTTTTTTTT